AACATTTTCGTCCATATATTTATGGGAAAAAATTTAAAATTTTAACGGACCATAAACCTCTTACATATTTATTCTCAATTACAAACCCTTCATCGCGCCTCACAAGATTCCGTTTAAAGTTGGAAGAATACGAATTCGAAGTAATTTATAAACCTGGAAAACAAAATTCTAACGCTGACGCTCTTAGCCGTATTTATTCAACAAATGTAACGACAACCCAAGAAATAAATAACGAATACGATCACTACAAAAGGACTATTCAAAGTACCCTAGTATCTAATAAAAATATTATAGACACAAATGAATCTGTTGTCGAATGCACTGACGAATTTAATCTACTTTATTTATCTGACAAGCAATTTTCCAGTGAAAACGAATACTATAATAGTGTAGACGAGTTAAAATCACAAAATGCACAAGTACGTCAGTTAGCGTTTTTGAAATCTGATGAACGATATTATATGTATCTCATTCTAAAGGATTCTGAAAATGAGCAAGTTTCCCTCGAAAATGTCTTTTACGCATTAATAAATTTAAAAACATTTTGTTTGAAAAATAGTATTCAAAAAATTGCAATTCCCAGTTTTACTATAAAAAGCCAACACTTAAGGATCTCAGATGTACGTACTATGCTTCGCTACATTTTTAAATCAACTTCTATTCAAATTTTAATTTGTCACGATAATAAAATTTCCAAATTTTCACCAGAGGAAATACAAAATGTTCTTCGAGAATATCACTTAACACCTTTAGGAGGTCATCAAGGCATAAACAGGACTTTTAGTCGTCTGAAAGCTAACAATTATAACTGGCACAAAATGTACTGTGATATAAAAAACTATATAAAATCTTGTGATAAATGTCAAAAAAATAAAAGTTCCTTAAAAACAAAAATGCCTATGGAAATAACTACAACCTCCTCCAAACCTTTCGAAAAAGTAGCGTTAGATATTGCGGGTCCATTTCCTACCACCGAGAATGGCAACAAGTTTATCTTAACTGTAACCGACGATTTGACAAAGTTCTTAATTGCCATACCAATTCCTAATCAAGAATCAGCAACAGTCGCGAAATATTTTACTGAGAACGTTATATGTCAATACGGTACGCCAGATTCAGTTCTCAGTGACCAAGGATCTAATTTTATGGGGAAATTATTTAGGGATATTTGTAAGTTACTTTCCATATCAAAATTACACAGTACAAGTCACCATCCCCAGACACAGGGAACCGTAGAAAGATCGCACCGAACGCTAAATGAGTATTTGCGAAGTTTTGTAAACAAGGACGCAAATAATTGGGATCAGTTTTTGCCATATGCTGCATTTACTTACAATACGACACCGCACACAGCAACTAAATTTACGCCATTCGAACTTAATTTTGGTCGAACTGCCGTTCTACCTTTATCAGTACAAAGGACTCCTCAAACTTTTTATAACTACGACAATTATTTAATAGATCTAAAGTCAAGATTGCAACATTGTCATGAAGCCGCAAGGAATAATCTCCTTTCAAATAAACAGAAATCAAAAATATATTACGACCGAAACACCAACACTCAAACATTTGAGGTTGGGGATTTAGTACTTCTTGAGGACGAAAGTTCGTCTGTTGGAAAATGTAAAAAACTTCAACCCATTTACAAGGGACCTTATGAGGTAATTTCAGTAGACTCTGGCGTAAATTGCACAATTTTGATCAATAGAAAACAGGTAAAGGTTCATTTAAATAGATTAAAAAAGTTCCGCATCAGTGATTAAGGCACAAATATCATTACTTTGCTTGATGCTTCGTTTTTTCGATTTTCTCTTTTTTTCCTTATTTTTATATTAATATATATTTTATTATACTTGTAAACAAAAAAAAATCCTATATGTAAATCTCATAGTTTCTAAAATTGAAGAATTTTTTTGTATCACCATGTAATTATTTTGATTGTGTATTGTACTGTATTATTTCTCTTTCCACACATGTCTTGTCTATCTTATAACGCTATGAACATTGTACTTTGTAATATTTAAGATTTTTTTGTTACGTATTTCATTGTGTGAATTGTATGTTCACCTGTATGTTGTTGTGTAGTCCACTGTATTTTAATATTTTTTTTTTAGCTCCTACGTATATGTATAACTAAAATTTTGTGCTTCAACTCCAAAATTTTCATTTTGGAGGGTAGGTGTTGTAAGGCCAATATTATATTTATGGTACAAATAGCAGAGTGGGGATGTCACCCTCTATCTTGGACCAAGCAGGTAGTTTTTTAAGGAGTCATAGCGGAGATGTGAAAGACTGTACATGGCTGGGAAAATAAACGTTAAAAAAAGGGAATAAGCGTTTGACTAATCACCCTCGCGCCGCGAAAAGGTCCTCAAAATACAACAACAAGTACATAAAGCTTACATAAATACATAAAGTTGAAACGATGGAAAACGTGTACCCCTGTTCACAGTGGACGAACGTAATTCTTATGCTTATGCACGTTTCATGTAATCCTTGTGTGCGTACACAAAGTTGAAACAAGTTCAACTTTGTGCACGAATTATGTCAAAATTATGTTAAAATCTAGGGACTTTTGAATGCTGCTATTGAATTCCCTTTGACAGTTGGCACTTGGCACTTCACACCTTTGATTATATTATATAAATTATAATCAAAGCTTCACACTGCGAGTCTGTTCTGTACTGCGAGTTGTCAAGTTCGAATATCGTATGAAATTGTAGGTTAGATATTTTGACTGACTCAGTTTGAGGTTAGCCGTTTCTATGTTTAGCCAGGAGTTATTCCGTTCTGCGTTTGCGCAGTTTAACAATTCTTACAGAGTTCACTCTGTCCACAGTGAACGTAGATAAGCATAAGCCAGACACACACCAAAAACGTAAATTATGTTATGCGCTCGTTCTTATGTCTTATGTCCATTGTGAATGGGCAGTTAACATAAAAATTATTATTAATTGCTTGATTAAATGTCAAAGTTGTCATTTATGTCGGTATAATCGTGTCCTTTTGATGTGGCAAAAATTAATGCCTCTAAATACCGTAAGAGGGACCCATTTGAAAACGCGCGTCATGGCCAACTGGTACGGAAAGAAATTATTCCACCTACCGGAACGTGAATGAATGAAAGATACTCAACCTATATTCTACAGCCGTGTTAAGGATTTATTAATAAACGCAGTTTAAAACGTCAAAATTGAATAAAAATGTTTTGCTTGAATATATTAATAATTTACAAAAAAGAAAAAAATCGCCAATGTCACTAGTACATGCCAACCATTTTTATTTTTGTGTATTATATGAATCACATACGAGTGCTACGAAATATTTGAATCTTCGTGTTTCCCGAGAACGGGCTCCCAAGGTCACACCCGTTTTGCAAATATTGCTGAAGTTTCGTTACTGATCTACTGTGACATTTGCCTCGAACGTATGTCGTACAGTGGTTCATACTGCCATTGACTTTGATTTTCAGAAGCTACAGATACGGCTGTGAATTTAAAATCTATATATATAAAAGTGGATGTTGGTATATACAGGGTGTTATTGAAAGGTACGTACAACAAAATGGACAGTTCTTCGCGAAGTCTAAGAAGTCGGAAAAACTTATTTTGTGTTATCAAAATTATAAGGGGAAAATTAACCCTTATCCAACCTTTTTAGACGCTACTGAAGGATAAATAGGTAAAATTAATTTATTTTAGTAAATCCTAGCAACTGTAACAATGATACTTTTGTCAAGACTAAAAAATGTTACTATAGAAACGAAAGATGATCTTTTTATCAGAGGCGTACAAGGAATTTGGACATAAATTTTAATAATTTTTATCTCTAAAAGGAAAACACTTTTACCTGAACTTTTTTTAACTTTTAGCACCTATACCAGTGATGCCTATACTTCGACACCAATTGCCGATTTTATTTTGTACGTACCTTTCAATAACAGGCTGTATATATATCTGTGATCGATAGACTCCGAAATCGTTTGACCGATCACCATGAAATTTGGCACATGTAAGTGGTTTTTCATGGAGAAGGTTTTTGTGGTATCCGCTTTGCTGTAACTAGCCACTAGAAGGCGCTACAGCACATCAACTTCTACACCGTTCAACCGATTCTCATAAAAATTGGTACACGTTGGCATTTGACTGTGGAGAATATTTTCGCCCTATCCATTTTGCTGTAAGTCGCCACTAGATGGCGCTGCAACACATCAACTTCTGTACCAATCAACCGATCCTCATGAAAATTGATATACGTTGGTATTTGACCATGGAGAATATTTTACTACTAGAGATTATTGAAAATGCCACCCAAAAAATCAAACATTGGAAGATCAACCTGACCTCGCAGCAACTGGCAGCCACGAGAGCTGCTGAAACATAGATCGCGTTGGCTGATTCTGCACCTGTCAAAGCATTATGAAATTAGAGAATCAGCGGCATCAATGACAACATTGTCTTCGTTGGTAGACGAGTCATCTGTCTAATGACTGGAGATTATTGAAAATGCCACCCAAAAAATCAAACATTGGAAGATCAACCAGACATGCGCAGCAAGTGGCAGCCAGTAGAGCTGGTGAAACCTTTGAAATACGAAACGCGCGACTGGAAACTGACCGGATTAGGGCCTCTACTTCAAGAATTGCCGAAACACCCGAAGAGCGAGACTCACGAATTGAAAACCTGCGGGTGCGAGCGTCTACGTCAAGAGCTACCGAAACATCTGAAGAGCGAGATGCACGAGTTGAAAACTTGCGAGTGCGAGCTTCTACGTCAAGAGCTGCCGAAACATCACAACAGCATGACGTACGTGTTGAAGATCTTCGAGCAAGAGCGTCTGCGTCAAGAGCTTCTGCAACACCAGAAGAGCGAGACACACGACGTGAAGCAGAACGCTCACGGCAGACTCGATCAAGAACAAGAATCGATCTCAAGAAAGCAGCGTTCAATTACGATAAAGACTATGACTACAAAATGCATCGCGATGTTGTCATTGGTCCGATGACTAAATTGTGTCTACACTGTCGCGCTTTGAAGTTTCAAAAAGAAGCGCCTGGCATGTGTTGCTCCAATGGCAAAATCAATTTGCCACCACTGACTGAACCACCAGAACCACTGCTCACTTACGTTGCTGGAGTTACTCGGGAGTCCAAACACTTTCTACAGCATATTCGGAAATACAACTCATGCTTTCAGATGACATCGTTTGGAGCGACGAATATTGTGAGATATAATAATTTTATGCCCACATTTAAAGTGCAAGGACAAATGTATCATCAGATTGGTTCACTCCTTCCAGTATCCAAAGAAGATCCGCAATTTTTGCAAATTTATTTCATGGACAATGTGGAGAAGGAGATTGATCGACGATGCGCATTTAGTATAGCAACAGATCGAAAGATTATTGCTGAATTACGAGCATTATTCCACGAGCACAACTGTTTGGTCCGAGATTTCAAATCCGCATTGGAGAATGTAAGAGCGGATGACTTTAAACTCATTATCAGAGCAGACAAAACCCCATCGAATGAGCATGAAAGACGCTTCAATGCTCCAATAGCCCCTGAAGTAGCAGCTGTAATTGTCGGTACAGAAATTACTCGGCGAGATATTGTTATCAGCAGGCGAAATCAAACCAAGCAACGTATTGCTGAAACACATCGATCGTACGACGCACTTCAATATCCAATTCTATTTCCGCGAGGAGAAGACGGTTATCATCTCGAATTGTATCAAACTCATCCCGTCACAGGTGCTGCGACAACGAAAAAAGTCAGTTGTATGGATTTTTATGCATATCGCATCATGATTCGAGCTGAACAATCCAACCATATCTTAAAGTGTCGTCATGTTTTTCAACAATTCATCGTTGATATGTACGCCAAAGTCGAAAGCGAACGACTCAATTACATTCGTTACAATCAATCGAAGCTTCGAGTCGAAGATTATTTTCATTTGCGAGATGCAATCGCGAATGATGGAACAATTGGTAATATTGGACAAACGGTTATACTTCCAGCTTCGTATACTGGAAGTCCAAGACATATGCAAGAATATGCTCAGGATTCTCTGACATATGTTCGCAGATATGGACGTCCAGATCTTTTCATCACGTTCACGTGCAATCCATCTTGGTGTGAAATCAAAGATTTACTTTTGCCTGGCCAGCAACCATCTGATCGGCATGACCTCACAGCGAGAGTTTTCAAACAAAAATTGATACGTTTTATGGATCTCATCACTAAGAACCATATATATGGAGAAACTCGCTGTTGGATGTATTCCATCGAATGGCAGAAAAGAGATCTACCACATGCTCATATCTTAATTTGGTTGGTTGAAAAAATTGTTCCAACTCAAATTGATGATATCATTACTGCTGAGCTGCCCAACGCAGAAGAAGATCCAGAATTATTTGAAATTGTGAAAAAAATATGATTCACGGACCATGTGGGGGACACAACCCACACTCGCCATGCATGAAAGACGGAAAATGCACCAAAAAGTATCCACGCCAGCTGCTGCAAGAAACACAAACTGGTGGCGACGGTTATCCGTTGTACAGACGACGAAAACCAGATGATGGAGGATACACCACAACTATCAAAATCAATAACGTTGATTTCGAAGTTGATAACCGATGGATTGTGCCCTACTCTCCTATCCTTTCGAAATCATTCAATGCACATATCAACGTGGAGTCCTGTAATTCAGTTAAGGCAATAAAATACATATGCAAATACGTGAATAAAGGCAGCGATATGGCAATTTTCGGAATTGCGAATCCCAATGCGCCCGTCAATGAAATCGAGCAATTTCAAATGGGACGTTACATTAGCAGTAATGAAGCTGTATGGAGAATTCTTGGTTTCGACATTCATGAACGCTTTCCTGCTGTCATGCATCTCAGTGTTCACTTGGAAAACGGTCAACGAGTCTACTTCACGGAAGACAACGCACCCAAACGAGTTCCAGATCCACCAAATACAACGTTGACCGCTTTTTTCCAATTGTGTGCAACTGACGAATTCGCAAAAACATTAATGTATCACGAAGTCCCGCAGTACTACACTTGGAATCAATCGACGAAGAAATTTTGCAGAAGAAAACGAGGCGCCAGGCATTCTTCTATAGCTGGCATATTTTCTACTGGTGCACTGGGAAGAGTATATACTGTTCATCCAAATAATGGTGAATGCTACTATTTGCGAATGCTGCTTCACGTGGTCAAAGGACCAACATCGTTTCAAGCAATCAAAACAATCGATGGTCAAGAGTGTGAGACATACAGAGAAGCATGTTTTAAACTTGGTTTGCTTGAAAATGATCAACATTGGGACAACACATTAGCAGAAGCATCTGAGACACGTCATGCCCATCAAATACGAACTCTGTTTGCCATAATTTTGACTACCTGCGCACCTTCTGATCCGAAAGGTTTATGGGAAAAACACAAAGAGAGTATGAGCGAAGACATACTTCTCCGAGCACGCAGAAATAATCCCGGCTTGGATGTACAGTATTCGGAAGTCATTTTCAATGAAGCACTGATATCACTTGAGGATGTGTGTATGTCGATTAACAACAAAATCCTCAATCAGCTTGGGCTGTTTTCACCGGAACGTGACAGAAACGATGTTATAGATAGAGACGTATTGCGAGAAAAACAATACGACGTCGATGCGCTACAAGTTTATGTTGAAACTCAGAAAAGGCTCTTAACAAACGATCAACGACTTGCATACGACACAATTATGGAGCATGTGCGAGGCGGAAATGGTGGACTTCTTTTTCTTGATGCACCAGGAGGCACAGGAAAAACATTTCTACTCAATTTGATACTCGCCGAAATTCGAATGAAACATGAGATTGCTTTGGCTGTGGCATCGTCGGGGATTGCAGCAACATTACTCGATGGAGGACGCACGGCGCATTCGGTTCTCAAGCTGCCATTGAATTTAAATCTAGCTGCTGATCCTCTTAGCAACCTTGGAAAAACAACTGGAATGGCAACTGTATTGAAAGCATGCCAACTGATTATTTGGGATGAATGTACTATGGCCCATAAGAAAGAACTTGAAGCACTTGATCGTACTCTGCGAGATTTCCGAAGCGATGAACGTCCACTGGGCGGAGCTCTGATCCTGCTCGCAGGTGATTTCCGTCAAACTTTGCCCGTGATTCCTAGATCAACACCAGCAGACGAGTTGAAGGCATGCCTGAAAAATTCGTCTCTCTGGAGACATGTGAAAAAAATTACACTGTCGACCAATATGCGTGTGCATTTACTTGGAGATGTTTCTGCACAAATATTTGCCAAACAACTTTTGGATATCGGCGACGGCAAACTTTTGGCTGATCCTACAACACAGGAGATAGGGTTTCCTCCGAACTTCTGTCAACTTCAGTCATCAATTGAAGAACTTGAAGAGAGTTTTCTCAAACATCGCCAACAACTTTAGAAATCATGATTGGCTTTGCGAGCGAGCTATCTTAGCTCCAAAGAATGATGATGTCAATCGAATCAATAATAAGATTCAATTAAAAATTCCTGGGATGATTACAGAATACAAATCGATTGACACAGTTACAGAAGAGGACCAAGCTGTAAATTATCCAGTCGAATTTCTCAATTCGTTGGAGCCTCCTGGAATGCCACCGCACATACTGACGTTAAAAGTTGGCTCACCAATACTGCTCCTTCGGAATCTCAATACCCCGAAGTTATGCAATGGAACCAGACTTTCAGTGAAAAAACTGATGCCGAATGTGATTGAAGCAACAATAATTAACGGCAAATGTAAAGGTGAAGATGTGCTGATTCCGCGCATTCCAATGGTTCCTACTGATTTACCCTTTACATTCAAACGACTACAGTTTCCTGTGCGTCTTGCTTTCGCGATGACAATCAACAAAGCCCAAGGGCAGTCTCTGCGCGTTGCCGGATTAAATTTAGGAAATCCATGTTTTTCGCATGGTCAACTGTATGTTGCTTGCTCCAGAGTAGGAACTCCAAAAACTCTGTACGTCTATACACCAAATCGAAAAACCAAAAACATTGTTTACCTACTAGCGTTACGATAGATGTTAGTAGGTATTGATTAAAATGTGTTCAAGTTGTTTCAGTTATATAGCGAATACAATAGTCAAAAATTTTGTTCATTCACGTGAATTACTAATACAAAAATGTATACTAATGAAAATAAATGGAATAGCATCAATATGAGTTATCTTATTATTCAGTTTTCTACAACGCATTCTGCGCTCCAGACCATACATTTATATCCACATATATACAAAGTAAATATATACACAAGCAGGACAACGTCTGCCGGGTTCCGCTAGTAATACATAAAGGAGATCTCATATTTGCAAATGTTTTCAATCAATTGCCAAATTTTGATTTAAGAATCATCATCAATCCCAAGCTTTTTTTCTTTTCACACATTTTTGCTAGAAAAGGAAAAACTTAGCATTTCTGATTAAACCTTTCATGTACAAGTAAAAATCACTTTCATTTTAGTACGAATTGGTCCGAAACACCCATTTAAAAAAAATCACAATTTAAAGAACAATTTATTTCAAAACAAAAAAAAAAAGTATTTTACAATAAAAAATTGCACTTCCTAATGCAAAATCTGATTCACTTTTGGTGAAAAACTGACCCACAAACTGTTTTCTTGATGGGCCATTTAAATAGTCCTCCGACACTAATAGTTCTTCGACACTGTGAAGTAGATTTTCTCCAGATCTTTCTAGTTCAGGACCCAATAGCCAAAGCAGTGCTTCGCTCCCATCAGTTTGTCGTAAGCTTTCATGAAGTTTTACCTCTACATTAGCTGTTTTTAGGCTGGCTTGGGGATTAAAAGAATTTTCAGCGACAACAGCTCTGACCTCAGCTGATTCACTTTTCTTCAGATGTACGTCCCAAGAACGCAAATTATTGGTCCAAAATACCTACATTATAACGTCCATGTAGGGCAAGTGTAGCCATATGGTGACATACAAAATGCATCTCTTGGGGTTTCACATGTTGCCTCTCTTAAGGAATATCTATGCATAATAAAACAAAATACGTCATAATTGTACTTGATACAGAATTTATCAATATACATCAACTTACAATAACCTTATACCTGGCTATTTCGCATTCTAGCTCGAATAAACTCTTCAAGCACATTTAATTCAGTATACCAATTGACTTTCACTACATTATTTGACTGCAAAGAATTTTCTCAGTTCACAATGCATCTCCGATCGTCAACAAAAAAAAAAGGTAATTGCCCCTATTGTTAACACATGTCTTTCTGTCATTATTAATAACAAATATAAAAAAAAACAAGTCCACAGACATATACAACCTAATGTGAGCCAATGTCACAGCACTAATATATCATCCAAAAACTGTGGTATGATTGTTTGTTGTGATGAAAGATGAAAATACGAAATCAACTGTCATATTTTGGGGATTTTGATATCTATACCAGTCTATACACAGAACACTCTGTCTATACTGTGCTAGTGGCCGTAATGCTGCCATTAGAAAGTAAAATTATAAAATCTGGTAGATGTGGTTTTTTAACTGTGTCAGCACGACTTTTAATTTTCCTTCCATTTATTTTGTAATAAACATAATTAACTGTGCCATGCTCTTAATATTATCGAAATGTATTGCAATTTGCTACTATTTTTTGTAAGCGTTATTGAACGCAAATTTGATTTATTGCTTAAACGTGCCTCCAAATTCGCTCCGAAATTCACTAATAGATTGTTGTTTACAACGTCGTATTTTTTTATAGTGATGTAGTCAGGATTTTCACAAACACGTGTTCGAAACAAAATTGCAGCCTGTCCGTAGATTCCTCGTGTTTTAAACCACACGCCAATGGCGCGCATCTCTGTGGTGTTGAATTTTAGAACTACTCACTCTAAATTGTGTTCTGTGGTCTGCATAAACATGTATGTACATGTCATGAGTTGTGGGTGATCAAATTTTTGCAGCCTTGTGAAAATTGTAATCACATTTATGTTTTTGTGCATCGAAAACAAACAAAAAGTTCCTACGATTTAAAGTTGAAGTCTCATCACTCTCATCGCACCAGCTTGTTATATATAATACTCAGAAGATTTAAAAAGTTCGAGGTAACAATCAGCTTGTATTTCTAAACTAACTGAGCGTGTAATAATTTGAATGTGTAGTAAAAGTTCTGAATTGAAACGGTTTAAAACCGTACCATTCGGTATGAAGTGTTGTGCTGATTTTATAAAACAACATTTGTAGGTTAGTTAACTCGTCTATAATCTAATTTCTTTATTACATTGGTATACAACCAAAAATCATCAAGAAAAAGAGTAGGACTTCATTACGTTGGTTGGACCTGCTGATATTAGACCCCAAGTTAATCTTTTTTTAAGGACGTCACATCAAAGAGATAATAGAGATGACCACAGTAACATGCCTTCAGGTTTCAGAAATATGTACATAATTCCAATCAGTACATTTTTGACAAAAATATGATCGCGTCAATGAATTACTTGAAATTTCCGCTTAGTTGATTAATGTCTAGGGTCAACGGATAATAGCAAGATGATAAACCTCTCGTTTATATAACAACCCCTATAACAATTTTCCCAATCATATCAGGTTATGATTTACCAATGAGAATTGCAGTTTTTGTTGACACTCTTTACATAGTCAGAACTTGCAATAAAACCATTTCAAACATTGCTTAGTCAAAACCATTTGAAATCAATCCCATCAATTGACCAATTGAATCCTTGCGAAAATGATTTATTTCATTTACTTGAAACATTTTGTATGATTTTCTGATTATATTTTGAAAAACTATATTTGCTAAAAAAATCTAGAAACAAGTCCGTTTTAAGCCGAAAAAATTGATTAGGAACGTGTATTTTCATTCCTGATGATTACAAAAAGTTTCATTTTATGGACCAGTATTGCCATTTTCTTTTGTTAGTATTACCAAATTGAACTATAATTCACAAAATGTGCTAATAATAAAAAAAACTTCCATATTAGTAAATTAAAGTTAAAGTTTCAGATGGAACATTCAATGTTATAATTTTTTTTATGTACATACCGCCGTCACTCTCTAATGATTATTTTCATTCAGTTTTGATGCTTCCTCTTCATTTGAATTAATATTTAATTCTATTGTGTAATTATTTTGGGTGACTAATGTATACCTGATTTTATGTACATGACTGATTCTAATTGTGTTACTGGCAAAGCGTTACCTTTGCTGAATTTCATAAGTTTTATGAATCAGAGGCAAAACAATACAGTGTTAAATGTAAACAGCAAAGCACGCGATTGAGTGCTACCCAATAAGAAATGTGGTGTAGTGAAATGCCTATTGTCTTTGCCATTTCTATTGAAACGCCACCTGTTGATTTTGGTTAAAATTTAGCAATTGGTAACAGCTTTCGGTTGATTGACAATTTAGTTAGAAAATTGTATGAATATGAACGTTGCCAAATTTACGATTAACAAGTGATGTTTCAATAGAAATGGCAAAGACTATAGACTCATTTGTAGATGAAGATATTTATCATCATTCTTCGTGTATTTCTGTTTCATATGATACTATGATGAAATGTTCTGATATTACTTCCTATAATTTTGGTAAAGCGGATATTGCATCTCTGTATCACCGAATTTTATTACTTGATTGGTCGTTTCTTGTTGATTGTTCTGATGTCAATGTTCCTAAATACAAAAATAAAAAGTATAATGTTCCTGTGTGGTACACGCCTCAAATTATACGTGATATTACTAAAAAAAATTGGTCTAAAGAGTTTAGAGTGTTTAGACAGTACTTCCCTCGCTGTGGGAAACTTGACGACTGCATGCCTATTTTTTTTCACATTACATTTTTCTAGCGGGGCATTTTAAAATAAATTGAATGAATTTTTTCATTTTTGTCATTATTTGGCATTGCTATGATTGGGAATTAAAAAAAAATTAAATTGCACGAAGTCGTCTCTGGGGTGATTAATATGTTGCCTATGCAAAAAATGTCTGGTGTGAACAGATAAAGTGGACAGATAAAATGAACGCCCTGTATAGTACTTGTAATTTAAGACAAATAGCCATAACACTTATCAATCTGTAGACGTGACGGTGAAATACAAACGAAACTAAAACGTGGTTTCTACGAATTGCAATAATCGGATTGACAATGCGACGGTTCAGACTTTTTTAATGCTCTGACTTCCGTTTATTGTATAAAACACTACATTTTATTTGGTTTTTGGATGCTGTAATTCACATTTGGTTAATTATAACTTGTCTATATCTAGGGGAGCATCCCCTAGCTACGGCCTTAAGAAATATCGAGAAACGAGTACCAAATTGACCAATGGACTCCATTACTGTACGTCCTTCGATTATCCTCGATAATTTATTTTTTTAATTTAATTTATTTGCAACGGAATCTCCAATTTACATTTTGAATTATTAAACTAAATTAACTAAATAATACATATTCTAACAGATTATTCCCTAATAAGTAAATTCAAAACAAAATATTCATGGCTTGGCGGTTACTAATATGAAAACAATAAATAATGAACTAAAATCTACTGTTATAAAATAACGAAATTTTGAATTTAAATTTGGTCAAAGGAGAATCAAACATCGATATGTTACTGTTCGAATAATCATTTGCAGCTAGCATCATTCTATGTAAAGGATGATTACGACCTATATTCGACGTCGATGGTGCTACGATGATAAGAAAAACGACTTGTGAAGTGTTTATGATTATACATCGGAAGAATGTCACTTAGAAAGTAGTTTGATTTGAATACGTTCGACCCCTCAAAACAGAAATAAAACAATTGACTTTACTAGTCAGCTTCAATCGACAAAATGTTCTGAATATCATTATTATAACTCTTATTAAATAAAGACGTTTGTATTTTCACATTTTCGAGAAAATGGGATGACTCGTTCTTAATTTAATCAATAAAAAATATGAATGCTATGATGAATCACAAGTAAAAACTCATATTTTGCACATTTTGGGTAGAATTTATTCCGCAAAATTTTGAGATAACGTCATCAATTTTTGTAGTTTCTGATTAACTCAATAAAATAAATTCACACATTCATTAATATTTTTGAGTCACCTGTATATGCAAATCCAAAAAATATGAATGGAATGATAAATCACAAGTAGAGACTCACCATATTTTGGACATTTTAGATAGGATTTATTTGGCAAAATTTTGAGCTGACGTCATCAAATTTTTGGAGGGGAAAAGCAAATATATTTTGATTAAAAATTTATCATGCTTATCATAACTTTGAAACATCTACAAGATTTCAAAGCATTCGGTTTTGCTGATTCAACATTAAATTACAAAATGAAATGTCGTTTTATAATTGTGATTTTTTTCCAGAAACGTCCAGATTTTCGGAAAAAAATTACAATGATATAACAACATTTTGCAATTTAATTTTCAATCCGAAAAACCGAATGAAATCTTGCAGAATCTCCATCAAGTTCAATGAACTTGGTCCACCTATGTTCAAGTGCTCTTATTCCATCCCTATAAGCCCTTTCGTTCAATTAGTCAAAATACTCGTTTGTGGCAGTAATCACATCTTCATCGGACTCATACTTTTTTCCAGCATGAAATTTTTTCAAGTTTGGAAATAAACTAAAATCCGACGAGGGTAAGTCAGGCGAGTAGGGGGCATGGGGTACAAATTCAAACAGTCGAGTTGTTGGAATATCCTACTTACTCACCAGACCTGTCCCCTAGTAACTTTGTTCAGAAAATTAAAAAAATATCTTCGTGGCAATAAATATGGCGACTATGACGAAGTGATGTCTGCCGTAAACGACTGGTTAGACGAGCAACCTAAAGAATTATGTTCCAAGGGAATCCAAGCACTGGTGCATCGTTGGAAAAAATGCCTTGCAGTTGCAAGGGACTACGTAGAAAAGTAGTGATGTAATTTTTGTTATATCTTATGTTCTTGTATGTCAGGGACCGTAAAAATTGATATAAACTTTGAATAATTTTTGTATGGATGAATGTCTAGGTAAGGATATATGAAAACTGTTGTACGTTTCTCCTGATATGTGATATTGTTGTAAATTTATAGACCCGTAGAAATTCATGATGAAACAAACGAAACTAGTCGACTTTTGACGCCGAGTTCTGGTCCTTTCGCACCAGCAGAGCTTTTTTCTACATAATCCTCTTGAATAGGACAGAATAACCTTGGCAGTATTTAAATAATATTTCTCATAACTAAAGTTTCTCAAAATGTCTAGCACTTGAAATAAATACGTCACACCTGGCCGAAACTTGATTAATGGTTTTATACACCCTATTTGGTGAATTTAAGCCTAAATTAGTAGGGTAATTTGAAAGGACTAGGATTTCTACATTCAAGTCTCTGCGTTTACCAACTGTCTCAATCAATTTTGTTAATACTGTACCTGTATAAACTAATAATTACCTAAAAATGAAATACATTTTGATTTGAATCATAGCAAACATGGGCTAGGCGGTGGTGTAAATAAACCTTTATTTTCAGAATGAATCCAGATTTGTTGCAAGCCAGTGACAGCAGCGATGAAGATTATGTACCCCATATCAAATTCGAAGATACCTCCTCCGATTTGGACTCTGATGGAAGCATGCAGCAGAAAACTTCACCGAACAAAGAATCATGTTCCAAATCTAAAAAAAGAAGAAAGAACACTTCAAAGTGTAACAAAAAACTTAAGAATATCGACCAATCAAAACCAAGTAAGTAAAACATGAGAACACTAAATGTTATTAAGTATTATTTTTGTTCTATGTTGCCAAAGGTAAAAGTCGAATTTTTTAAGGATTGAAATTCGTTATCAGAGAATCTACCACCGGTAACTAATTTCGAAAGCTAAAAATTAATTATGACCATCTTATCTCGGATTTTACTTTTCCTGCTCACAGCTTAATTTTTCGTCATATAATAACACTAGCTTTTGCCCATGGCGTCGCACGCGTAAAATTCGGAGTAAAACAATTCCCCTTTCCCTATACCGTGAAGATAAATGACAAAAAATTGTTATTGTGGGTTATCCATAAGAGATAGACATATACCATCGGGGAGTTTTCTGTAGACCTTTTCAAGGTGTACAATACTTAGTACATTATTTTGATAAATCTCGTAGGGTTCAGCCTGCGTTTGCAATGTAAGCGGAAAAAATGTAATTATTTACGACATCACATTAGAAACTTCAAAAATAACATTTTTATTTCTCTACTATATAATATCTATTAAAAAAAAACCGCATCAAAATCCGTTGCGTAGTTTTAAAGATCTAAGCATACATAGGGACAGACAGCGGAAAGCGACTTTGTTTTATACTATGTAGTGATTTACAAGGCAACGAGTAATCAAATCAAAAACACCTCTAGTTATTTCTCGATGCTCAATTGTTTTATGAACGTATGGCGTAGCTTGCTAACGTCTAAAGCTACGTGTCTACTTGAAAGAAATACTTTGGAGATCAGCCCTTACAATTGACCCTTATACTGTAAGTAAAGTGAATAGACATTATATAAATTCCAATGATACAGAATGAGACAACATCGCGCAGGCGAAGTCAGATTTCTACAGCGCTAAGTTAAAATTAACCAATGAGCGACAGATTACGTATGTGTTTCCGGCTGCATTCTGTCAAAACGGTTTGTTGTCACAGGTTTTTATTATTCGGCATGGCATGTGATATTGAAATTCATTTAATTTAATTAACGTTTTCTGCCTCAAATTGCACAGATTTTTTTCTGATTTGTGGTTTACCATATTTTTTGTTATATAAAAGAAGGATTGACACGCAAAAGCCGTTTTGTTAATCTTCATGATTACAATTTTAAATCGTGAATTTTGTAACATATTTTGACCAAGAATTACAGTGATAGTGTAATTTCATTGCTGCTACGTGAGATTTTGCAAATGAACATTTGAGACTGTGTATGTCCTCCCATAACTTCAAATTGAAGATGTCTCTAAAAAAAAAACAAGTGTGATAGATACACGTCGTCCCGCATAGGGTGTCAGGACCATGGCCACCATAACAAGCGTAATTATGGATAGTTATTTTTTTACGGAATAGTTTTAGGTGTTAGATGTTGAAAGCAGTGTATTACATTATTACAGATTCCATTAATTGCAGTAAATAATCGGAGAAGCCAAAGTTGCTTAATTTTATCAGTAGAATTCTGTGCTTGAGTTTGTCAAACGTCTACTTGCTGTTTAGCATTGAAACTATTGGCTACGTATTGGGTGAAACAACTCAAATTCGTTTCAGTGGAACGACCACTTATAAATCCATGCTGGGATTCCGTTAACCAATTGTGCACATTAAATGAGAGAAATTTATGAAGAATCATCTCAAAAATCTTTGAAAAATTGTAAATCAATGAGATGGGTCAGTAATTCTCTATTAAATGTCTCCCCTTTCTTAAAAATTGGAGAGATCACAGATAATTTCCAGACGTCTGGGAAAGATGCAGTTTTTACAATAATATTAAATATAACTGATAAAGGATAAGAAAACACTGAGGCACAGTCATGTAATAAAAAACCTGGTATATTATCATGGCCACTAGTCATATTAGGTTTGATAGTCATCAAGGTTTCAAAGACGTTCCGTAACCGAAATAAAATTAATGGAATCATTGCTGGACGCATCAATAGAAGTTGGACTATAATCCGAATAACTGGAGTGAAAGTGTTCCATAAAGGCATTTACAATGTCTTTGGGATTACCCAAAATATTATCCAAATAAATCATTTCAGAAGGTATACCAGAACGCTTCCAGATTTTGAGTATACAACGCGATTTTGATGTCATGTTTAAGCTCGTTACGAATAGTTTTAAAATGCTGAAGATTTAGTTGGTTTTTGTGGGATTTATATTTACGCCATAGTCTCCATTTTCGCTTGATTTTTCTAATAATATTACAAGTGAACCATGGTGGAAATGAATTATTACAAAAATGATGAGATTTGGGTGCGTAAAGATCCAATATGCTATTAATAAGTTTGTTATAAAAGAGGCAGCAAGCAGTATTAACTAGGGATGTACCGACTAGTGGCCGACCGGTCGGATAAGCCGACTATTCGGCCGTTTTTCATCGTCGGCTGCAGTCGGCGACTAGTCGGCTAAACAGCCGATCGGTCGGCTTTTTTTATTAAAATTAAAATAGTATATAAAACAATTAAACCCGGTTTACAGAACCTCAATTAAATATTTAATTGCGATTTAATTTTTAACCCCGCGTTAAAGTATCATGTGACCGAATCTACGCCAATCAGACGTCACTAATGGCCTTGTTAAATGCGCGATCAACTTAAACTCAGTTAAAATATTATATAAACTGGCCCTAAATTGTGTTATTCTTTATTTTTGCATTGAGTCACTAAAAAAAATTAAATGTTAAAATTATCCAAACAAATTTAACACATTTTTTGGAAAACAAAGGAACTTTAGTTATTCCTTTTATTAAAATAGAACAAACCTTTAAGGTAGCCAGAGAAATAGAAAAAAACACACTGTTTGTCGCATTTATAAACCAGTTTTAGCAAAGCCGAACAGTCGGCCGACTAGTCGGTTTTTACTGGCCGAACAATCGGCTAGTCGGTTAGTCGGCCAGATCTACAGTCGGTACATCTCTAGTATTAACATCATTAACGTTCTCCAAGAAAGACCAACTTATCTCACCTAAATGACGATATAAATTTGGAAAGTCAGCTCTACGAAAATTACAGCGTTTCTGTGAAGATTTACAGTTACTTATAACCTTTACTTTTGGTTGATGATATTCTAAAGAAATAAGCAGTGAGGGGTGGTGTGTGTCTTCAGGTAGTAGATAATCTTCCGCTTTATCGATGTAACACTGTATGTTTGAGAGCACTAACTCTAAGTATCTACCATTGATGTTGGCTACGCTGTTACATTGTTTAAGATCGAGATATATGTGACAATATGACATATTCCTAACAAAACAGCTTTTTGCATTTTGACAATTATTGAATCATTTAAATGTAAATATTTCAAATTCTCAACTAAACTATTTGGTACTACACTTACATTGGAGATAACGAAAGGTAGAATTGAAATTTTCTCAATATTTAGCATTGCTTTCATTTCTATTGATAATTGCAGATATTTTGAAATTTTTGTGTGGTGTGTTAGGAACAGCAATATAAGTAAGACTGCCTTCATTGGTGTGTTTCTTTATAAGTATGATATCTGGTCTGTTGGCTGTAATGTTTCTGTTTGTAAGTATTGTGAGATCCGAATATGGCTTGTATTCGGTGTTTTCAAGGAATGGAGATGGAACATAAGTATAATAGGGTGTAGTATCTTTGATCAAGTTTAGATTTGTTGCTAAGTTTTTGTGAATGATTATAGCTGCGTTGTCGCGTCTAGCTTTGTAGTCAGTTTGTGCCAGGATGCTACAGGATGAAGTTAGGTGCTGAATCGTTTCGGGTTTTTCTTTACAGGGTCGACAAGAATCGTGTGTTATATTTGGGTCTTTGATTATGTATTTTCTGTAATTCTTGGTACTGATTACTTGGTCTTAAAAGCAAACAAAAACCCTTGTGTTTCGGCATAAAAATTTGATTGTTTTTGGCCAAATCAATGACATTTTCACGTTGATGTGTTTCGTTTATAGTCTAGTCAAAATAGGCATTTAACTTAGCCAAAATTCGCATAGAGCTGAAAATTGGTATAGACGTTAAATAAACCATTACAAATGAAATGTCAAAAATCCCCTTCGATCCTAGTTCTGCAAACAATTTTACCCAAGGTCAAAGGTCAAAAATTCAGGTTTTTCCCATTTTTCTCTGAAACCGTAAGTTTTATCCTAAAAATAGGCTAGACAAAAATTGTTCCAATACTTTTTTTCGTACGAAACACCATTCGAAAGATATCGCGGATTTTAAAAGTTAAAATTAATTTTCGTCATAATATGCACACATTTCCGCACCACCTATGAGATAATGTACTTGGCGCATTTTTTTTTTAAAGAACTAAAAGTTTGATCGATGTACAGATCGCATCCTATTGATTGAAAGAGATCGCATCCTATTGATTGAAAGAATGGTACTATTGCTAATGTTCAAAGTGGAACAGGTTGATTCCTCTTAAATTTTATTATGATAGATAATTTTCTACTTCAACAATTATTTCTTCATCTTCACATTCTTCTTCTTCTCCTTGCATAATTTCTCTACGCTGTTCTAAGATGGATCAGTTGTCTCTTAATTGATATCATAGGTATTGTCATCTGTTGTATTTGATTCAATATTGGAGCAAGTCTGACCCTGACAATTGATACATACTGGCGAACAAAATAATCCCACTGTTTGACAACCACAATTCTTACTACAATCCGTCTTGCAGGTTCAAAAAATAGTATTAAGCAGTTTTTCTGGAGCAGGCGGGAGTAGGGTTTGAATTGGTTCCAAAAAATTATCTCTGAGCTGGACCCCATTCTTCTGGGTCCAGCTCATTGCCTAGCCGCACTTGAACTTGATAATACACACGATACAAGTGTTGAAAGGCAGAAGCAGATGTTGGCGGCAGACAAGACAACTGCACTGTTTTATTGTTCCATACAGATTTTACAAACCTTAAATATCTATGGAATCATTTTTTTTTTGGAGCACCATACATTAAAAGAAGAAAACGAATTCCATTTGTGACGATGTCATGTGGAGAAGAGTCAATCTTTATAAATACTTCTGCGCAATCAATTAAATCATTATGTTTTTCGAACAATTTAAATACTGCTGTTTTACCTCTCTTAAAAATAGCTGATGTAGTGTCGCAACCAGTTATTGCATGAAAAATAAAATACGAGTTTTACATTTTGGATATGCAGTCAAACTTTGTGATGAATATATTGTTGACTGTACTTGAGCTTTCCCAGGTTTCAAAAAGTAAATAATTTTATCAATTGGAGTCCGTGCAGTCAGTAGTATCAACAAAACAACATCTTCACCAACGACGACAGTTGTTGTATTTGGTCTTTTGAATTGTTCTATTGCTGTTTCAATTATAAGGACATCAGCATCATTATCAGCTTGTTTTATTGAAATGCCAGCAGCTGTAAACTCTTCACATAGCATTGAAATGAAGCGAGACGTATACAGGCTGCATAGAGTATGAATTTTTCAACGTTTAAAATCGCGATATCTCACGAATGGTGATTTGTACGAAAAAAAGTATTGGAACAATTTTTGTAGAGAATCTACAACTTTTGTCTATTTTTACTATAAAACTTACGGTTTCAGAGAAAAATGGAGAAAACCTGAATTTTTGACTTTGACCTTGGATACAATTTTTTGCAGAAGTAGGATCCAAGCGGATTTTTGACATTTCATTGGTAATGGTTTATTTAAAGAATTTTCCATGTAGTTATTTGTGTTTCAGCCCACTTATTATGTTGTGTAGATCGTGGAGTGTGGAAATTTCTTCAATATTGGATAGATGTTTAAGTCTGCTCTTGTTATGGCGCGAAACAATTCGTTTGTTTCTGTCCGTCTCAAGAAATATTTCTTCAATTCCGAAACTTGTCTCTTGCATAAATTTTCTAAGTTCTGCAATCCCCTGCCTCCGTTCTGGCTTGATAATGAAAATCTCTTAATTGAGGACTACGGATGATGTTTTCTATATTGTGTGAATGATTTTCTTGTTGAGATCTTTAAATTTTCCAAATCAATTTTTGACCATTTAATTATTCCAAAAGTATATGCTAGCAGTAGATAATGTTAACTACCCTTCTCCCCACTCTTCTCCACAGCAAAGACAGAGGGGAAAGAGTGGGATAAAGGAGAGCAGCATCAGAAATAAATAGGATGTAAATGTTTCAAAATTCTCACTTTATATACACGAAAACAGAAATTACGTGCCAAATAATTCTATTCCTATTAATTTATATTTTATTTTCAGCCGATTTCCAATCTGAGGTCCTTACAGAAAATGACAAAAAACAAAAAGAAGATGATGTGTGGGCAAATTTTATGAAAGATACAGGTTTCAAGTCTAAATCTGAATGTGTAGGTAATCAATCGACAAAATTATTATCATCAAGTAATAAGGACGAATATAAAAACACTACAGAAGAAAATAAATCGAAAAAAGGCTCAGCAATAGAAGTTTTTAATTTTGCCGGAGAAAATGTCGTTGTCAACAAACAGGAAAAACGACGATCTGAACCTGAAAATGTTAACCAAGGATCAACATCAAAAAACACAAACACTCAAGCGAATGAATCCAAGACCCACTCCAGTGGAATAGGTGGAATACTTAATCAATTAGGTAAAAGGACAAAAATTAACACTTTGGAAAAATCAAAGTTAGATTGGGATCAGTTTAAAAGAGAAGAAAATCTGGAAGAAGAACTTCAAACATTTAATCGGGGAAAGGATGGGTAATTTGTTTTATAATAATCATGATATTAACATAGCAGGTTTTTTTTTAGTTATTTGGAGAAACAAGACTTTTTAAATAGAGCAGATTTAAGAAGATTTGAAATAGAACGTGAACTGCGAACAATTGAAAGAAGTAAAAGAGGAAATAATTTGTTATAATAAACATCATTGTTATACATATCAAGTATTATGTGTAAATTTTATTACATTCCGTTCAGTTGTAATTATTTAATTTTAATTAAGAAGTTTTGAGTTGGTGGAACCGTAAAGCGTTTTTAAATATGCATGTACAGACTCGATTTAATAAAAGAGAATAACGTAAAGTATAGACTTTTTTAAATATTGGCAAGGTATTGTAAAACTACCAACTAAAACGTCTGAGATATTTCTGTTTCTTTCTTCGTCCGACAAGCTGTATTTTCGCAAATAAAGAATGCTCACATTTCTTAGCATTTTAGAGGCGGAGACGTTTTCAAGCGGATCAGATGTACAATCTTATGTGCAACACGGAATGGGTTTTTCCCATCCTTCCAGGAAGTAAGAGTTGTAAGTCCCACCAACTTATTTGTTAAAGTCTATTCTGGTATCAGTCTTTATCTTATCAGTATTCATTCAATATCAGTACCTGTTCGGTGTCCGTATCATTCATTGTTATTCAGCAGTAAGTATTCCGTATTCGAACTGTGAAATCGATATGTAATTATTAGTGTATTAAAATAAAGTAAAGAAATTGCCGGATGTACGGTAATCTATAACTCGTGCAAATCGGTACCGTCTTCAGAACAGCACCTGAGATTCACTACGTCGTTGTCATTCGGTTAGTGGCTCTCATTCAAATCGCACGTAGTGTAGTCAAAATAGGCTGCATTTTCTTGTTTATTTATTTATTTTTATTTTATTACTTATGTTTTCAACAGGCCGAGGCCCAGTTACAGAAAACTGGACGTATACAAACACCCAGAGCTACAGTATCGACCCCACAACCCAAGGTGTAGCAGGTAGACGCGCAGTCAACACACTTACCTGGTCCGGAACGAACGATTTTAATTACTTTGTCATAATCTATTCGCCTCCCAAAGTCGTAATCTCAATCATAATAAATCTCATTCATTATCTAATATAATGAGTCATATGCTAACCTGTAAAATCTCAAACAACCCTTAATTAATTTTATAATATTACGAAACTATCAGATTGGAGACCGTGACTGGAGAGTCGGCACCAATCATGGGCCAGGCGGAAGTTAAAATCTACATTGATCAGTTGAAAATAAGACATCGCGCTCTCGTAGCTGGCATCGAAGATGACTTCATTCTGGGAATGGATTTGATTAACCGCCATGGATTACAGTTAGAACAGAAATCGAACCCGGATTTGTCCACGGTATTGTTCAACCACCGCACACCCCCAAGGAGAATCTCATGATTGCTAGTGCTTTAATCAATATCGAAAATGACATACCTGTTTTTCCTAAACTCATGATCATCAAGAGTGGGGAGGTTCTTGCCGTCTGTCAACCAGTCACGAAGATAGTTCATCATTACGAAGCACTTTGTGATAACACTGATGAAGGAAGAAAAAGCAACTTAGAAATTCCTGCCCTAGAGCTTGGTCATCTAACCGATCATCAACGGAATGTAGTAAGAGATTTTCTGCTGAAACACAGTGGAATGTTTGCATTTGGAGAGTCCTCTGAGCGTTCACGAAATGGTGCGCCACAAGATCCGGTTGGCGAGTGACAGAATGAAAACACGTTACGACCGTAAGGGTAACTCAGTAGGATTCTAGGCAAGGGATTTGGTATAGCTTTATAATCCCCGAAGAAGGAAAGGTCGTTGCACGAAGTTGTCACCAGACTGTGAAGGTCCAGGTAAGATTGTTCATTTAGACCGCCTCATGAAGTACAACAGTGACAACGTCGACGTTTCTGATCGGGACGATCAGAACTAAGGAGGGGGCAGTGTTACGAAATAAACCCATACGCCGCCCCGATACGACGTCTATGGGTTCCTGAGCTTTCTAATACATACGGCGTTGATGGGTGAGTCATCATCGCTGACGGTGTCGAAGCGGCGTTCCATAAAGGCAAGTCTGAAACGGCTTACCGGAAATCTCGAGTGGGGGCCCAGAAGACCCCCGAAACGGCGTTCTCGATCCATCGAGAAGAACGTTAGGTTTAAAATAGAAGCCACCGTCGGGAACGAAGATCATTCAGCCAGCAGAATCGACAAAAGTACAGTCAAGGTGCGCCGGAATTATGTTGTACATAATCGCTGTGTAATAATCAGTCGTCTAATTCGAGTTATTAAGAAATAAATTGTTGAGTTTAACCCTTGCCGATTTTATTCACCGATCGACGTAACAATATTTTATATTGTCCGCATTTGTGCGGACCCTACTCACATGGAATGGAATTTACGCCCACGCAGACCAGGGACTGAGGGGCTGTTATTTACCCCACTAGAGCGAGGAAAGTTCTGTCAAAATAAACTTCTCGAATTTTTTAATTTTATGCGCTCTGATTATAAATAGTGGTTGAATGTGTTAATTTAAAAAAATAGTTTACGATTTATATAATACTCCTACCTAATTTTTTCTTATTTAGTAAAATAAGTTTTTAGATGACAAACCAACTTTATCTATATTTAACATAATTCAAAACAAAACACCTCGCCGACATCAAAAATAAAACAGCTCCTAATTCAAAAAGCATCTCAATGGAATTGCGTCCTTTTCTAAATCATTTAAAAACTTTTTTCTACTCCCACATAGTAATCCATGAATTACGAACTGTCTAGCCTCATAGTAAAACCATAGTTACACCCACTGGCATGTAATGAATGAACAGGCACGTAATATATATATATTACGTGCCTGTTTAAATAGTTTCCATAGCAACTATAAATATTTGCTTTCCCAAAAAAATTTCTTCGGAAAGTGATTCTTCATTATAGATCGTAGAAAATAGTAATTTACGCAACTAGTTCGGGATAGCCTGCTTCCCGCATGAACGCTTGTTTGAGGCACGACCGAAGGGAGTGCCGCATTTGCGTGAATGCGGGAAGCAGGCTCACGAACGTGTTGTGTACAATATTTTTTGCGACGAATAAACCTTTAAACTGAAGAGATTAACTGTGAGTTATTTATAAACAACGCCATTGACAGCGCCGTCAACACGTCACAATGTTGACACTACCCGAGTATTTTAAGGTTACCATGGCAACGGGAAGTTAAATGCACGTGTGCGGGAAGTTCGACCTCCCGCACTCTGGTGAATGCGCGAAAGCTATCAAAAAAGGTCATGAGTGCAAAAAGTATATGACACAACTCTGGTGGTAAGCTAATTACGAACTCATATTACATCACTCGCTCGCTACGCTCGCTCGTGTATAAACTTCGTTCGTAATTAGCTTCTTACCACCCTCGATATGTAATATACTATTATCAAACGCCGGTAGCATCGAAGCTTGTGTGGTTGATGCATTTTGATTTTTTACACCCGAAAATATCAAAATCTCATTTTCGGAAAAATTGGAGTTACGCACTTTGAAAATTATACCGACGATATTTTCCAAACGCAACATGTGACAAACACTTTTGCGATTACGTAATCGTCGTTTTTCGTGCACTTTATCGTGTGAGGCTTACTGTCAAGGTAGTTTTTTTTTTTTTTTTGAGAAGATTTTGGCCAACCTAAAGATTGCATTAACATCCCTGAACTCAGTGACAGAGGCTTGTACCCGGAATCTCCGGGTCAAAAAATCTTAGTTGGCAACCCTAAATGGGATTTGTTGTTGCTGCAGGGTCGAAATAACTTTCGACCAATTTTTACCTCCCGAACGTAAGCAAAGGAAGTTTTGTAATCAAGTCCGTCGGCTGACTCTCTGCTTTTACGTTTTCTTTACCTTTTATGAGCACAAAGACATAGATCTCCCGTTTCCGTCTGTCTGTCTGTCGTCCCGAACTTTTATTAGATAAATAATCTCCCAAAGTACTGGGCCAATTGTTGTCAAATTTTGTATTTATATTAGGAATATCATGTAGATGGTAAAACGCTAACCAAAATTTGTCTAACCATCCCAACCAATAACACAGTCCAATAATGTGATGACGTCACTTCAAAATTGTACATAGTAAATAAGTTTTAAATTATATAAAATAACATAGTCCTATACATATAGTTTATGACTGCACGTTGAGTTTTTACTCGAAATGTCCAGATTTTTGGAAAAATAAACTCAAAGTTATAAAACAACATTTTACAATTTAACTTTGGAATTGTAAAATCGAATGCTCCGAAAAGTTTGAACATATTAAATTGTTAATCGTTTATGGCTTCCTAAAAAATGATGCTGTCATTTTATAATTTTGCAGAACAAATGTTCCTTAAATTTTATAGACTTAATACTTCGTGTATAGGTAATTTATAATCCGTGTTGAATTTTTCCCTAGACATCGAGATTTTTGGGAAAAAATTCAAAATTGTATTTTACAAAAGCGAATGTACTACTGAAATATTTCAATCGTTTTAAGGTTATAGGAAAGATGATAAATCGTTAATCAAAATTTGTTCGATTAAGGCCTTTGCAAAAAATTATGGCGTCATCTTAGAATTCTACCGAAAGAAATCTTTAAATTTAAAAAATAACGGTCCTGCATACGTGATTTATGAATCCGTGTTGACTTTTTGCCCTTAACATCCAGATATTTGGAGAAAAGAAAATCAACATTGTATAACAATATTTTACAATTTAAACTTTGAAAGTGCAAAAACCGAATGTTGTGAAATCATCAAGATATTTTAAGAGTGAGTCTACGTTGAGGACACAAAATCAACCAAATTTCATTTTCTTTTCACCAATGATGCTTGTCGAATTCGGTCGAAGTATAAACATAAACAGTCGAAGTTAACCATATAAAGAAAAAATACTACAACAGTACCTAGTAAAACCGCTACTTTGAGGGATTGTCGGACCATGCAGGGGGTTAATGAGGCCAATAAAAGGAGCGTGCCGCCAGTGTATAGTGGACTAAAAACATTCAGGGTTGCATTGAATTTGTGATTTATGGTTTTGTGGGTCCAATCTTTATGGTTAACTTTGAAATTTCAATAAAATTTTACTAGTGTATATAGTGTTCTTTCTATACTAAATTGAGAATGTCTATATTTTGTCCCGTTAGTTACTGCTCTGAATATATTTCTTATTTAAAAACACTGGAGTTGCGGGGATGTTAATTACGCCATTTTATAGAGGTTAACAGTTATCACAAATCGAAAATCCCAAAATCTAGTTTTATATTTTTTTACAGAAGCGGAATTTATCGAATTATACTTCAAGGGCGAGGGAAGTCTGTCAAAATAATCTTCCACAATTTTTTTACTAGCTTTGTTTTTCTTGGTAACGTCATCAAAATTCCAAAAACAACATAATTTTTTTAAAACGTAATGTAGCTGGCAAAACGGAAAATAATAATAGTAATAATATCCAAACAACATATGTATACAGTACTGTTACGAAAGAAACTCATACGACGCCTATGGGTTCTAATATGTACGGTGATGATGACTCATCGCTGCCGGACGGCGTTCGTCGGAGAAGAGCCTGGAAACGGATATCGTGACAGGTGTTCGAGAAGAAGCTTAGAAGCAGTGATGGAGACCTTTGAGAAGGACCGCGCGGCTGTTTAAATGGGAACCACCGTCGAGAGCAGTTAGTGTAGTCCAGATAAAGCGAGATGAATTCAGTCGAATCAAGTCCAGCAAAGAGCCAGTCAAGTCGCTGTGTAATTAGTCGTGTAAAGTTGAGTCACTGAGAAATAAATTGTTGAGTTTAACCCACGCCGATTTTAATCATCGATCAACGTAACAATACTATAGGGCCCCACTTTGTAAATTTCCCGGTGAACAACTAGGTCCTCAATCCGACACTGCTCTCCAAGACGAAGCGAATCGACTTATTCATCAAACCATCCTCGTAAGAACCTTCGAGATTCAACCAGCTTTAAAACAAAACAAACCGCATTAAAATCGGTTCATCCGTTTGTAACTACGGTGCCGCAGACAGACAGACAAAGGGGTCAAAGTTATAACACTCTTCTTTCTCAGTCGGGGGATTAAAAATGAGTAGAAAGATAAGCTAGATGATGTACAAATTTTTTTCTTTCATTTATTATCACTCTTTGATCCTATTTGTTCAAAAAGGTAATTTTTCATGCGTTTTCATTTCCATTTCTGTCATTATTTTATATATGTAATTCATATTAAGCGTACCTCCTTCTAACTGCATTATATTATGGTAGTGGAAGGAATTTCCAACAATTGATAAATATTTGCTGTCATGTATCAAAAGTTATTATCTACGTAGGATATGTTTGCTCAAACATTTCGGAATAGTTTTCAAAATTTCTGTTTCTAATATGTAATTATTAATTAATGAACTTGACTTTTACTATATGTGTTAACGTGAAGTTTTAGTTTCGATGCTACAGAATCATTATTTGCTAATGTTCGTCTTTGTCATGGCGTCAATGATTCAACGGATAGTAAAGCAGCAGAACATGCAATTCGTCAAATTTTAAGAAATGTTTTGATAGGTAACAACAGTAAATTCTGGAAATACCATGCTCGGTATTGAATATACATACATAGTTACTTGTAACGGAAGTTTTGAAATAACACAAAATTTAAATAATAGTGAGATCAGCATTACCTTGAATAATACTTTACTAGAAAAATTAGAAGGTTTAAAAGCATTCGTGCTTATCATGCTCGAGGAATTCATGTCCCCAAAAAACAAGTGCTTTGTTAGAACTGATCTGCAGTCAAGATCGAGGAAAATTAATTTATCCTGGAGAAGAATTTGTGGCTTTGAATTTGTGGTGGACATAATAGTGGAAATTTTGCCAAGTCTTCCGAAAGAGAATCTAAATTTTATTATAAAAACTATTGTCTTCTCGTATCTCGTTAACAATGCCATTTTTCGATGTCAAGTCCACTACAAAATTGTTTGTAGTACAATTTTAGAAAAGTTAGTTCCCCTGTTGTGATAAACTTTGTACGATACTTACATGCACAAAGATACATTCAAACTAAAAAAAAACTTTTGAAAGTAAACTGATTATAAAGTAGCCCAAAAGCTATAAGGTTATATGATCATCATAAAAGTAGTTGACCGCAAATAAATACCTCCTTTGTGTGGTGAGCAATAAATCGTCTTCTGAACATTTCTTGCTCACATTTAACAGGGTCGGGTTTCAAAGCGACTGGTTATTTCGGAACCCCCTGCGGCTGCAGGTAGTAGCCGATTAACGGAGTGGTGGATTTAGATATTTAGTGAGACCCGCCCCTGAACGAAACGACAACAAACGGTCGAGCTGCAGTGAACACGATATTTACTACCCCAAAACCTTTTCTATTGTAAACAACTTAATTTCGACACAATGGGATAATTTTATGATGGCCATATAACCTTATAACTTCTGGACTAGTATACCTATTATTTGAAATTGCGTTTATATGTAAATTGTTCATTTTTTATTAAACTAAACATAGGTACAAATATTAGGTAAGAGGCAAAGAAAAAGTCCAGGACAGCAAAATAGATTGTTAAATTTCAAACCATGAACAAACAAATTAAAGATTAATATAGTAGTAAACATGCTTTCTAATTTGCATGTGGGTGATGCTGAAATAAGATGAAGCCATATGCAATCTTCCCAAAAAATGTATATATATTTTTTATGGTAGTTTTCGAGATACTTAACTTTAAGAAGGTAATGGTATTGCTTGAAAATAAAAAGCGTCCAAAATATTTAACTGCACAAAAAAACTGGTCCAAAGTTCTTTCGACAGAACTTCCCTCGCTCCTGAAATACAATGATAATTTTTTTGAGTCACCTGTATACGCAAATCCAAAAAATATGAACGGAATGATAAATCACAAGTACAGACTCATCAAATTTTTTAGGGGGGGATGAGCGAATACATTTTGATTAAAAATTTACCATGCTTATGATAACTATAAAACATTTCCAAGATTTCAAAGCATTCGGTTTTGTAGTTCCTGATTAAATAAATAAAATAAATTCACGCATTGATTAATTTTTTTGAGTCACCTGTATATGCAAATCCAAAAAATATGAATGGAATGATGAATAATAAGTATTGTCTCATCATTCTTTGCACATTTAAGATAGGATTTATTCAGCAAAATTTTGAGGTGACGTCATCAATTTTTTGGAGGGGGCAAGTAAATATATTTTGAATAAAAATTTATCATGCTTATCACATGGTAGAAGGAGACATGGTATAGGCATCCGATGTACCAATTTAAAAATCGTCTGCGCATCCATTTGTGACGTTAGGTGGCATCAACGAACTTGTGAGTCTTGTGAGCTTCGCTAAGGAAGTCTAGGGAATATCAGCTTGAGTTGTGATTGCTCTGTCCAGTACGTCAATTAGTTGTCGGCTAACGAAAGTTAATGAAATTAATAATGATAAAAATGTAATTATTGAAAGTTGAACGGTCCAAAAATGTGGTTTCGTATCAATTTCGATAAATGTAGGACATCAGCAAATGCAAATACCAATTTGCTCTTATCTCTTGAGTGTTGAAAAGAGGTTTTTGACATATTTATGCTCAGTTCTCTCCATAAACCTAAGTTCTGCGATCACATCACACATACGACTGCAACAACTGAATAATCACAAATAAATTTTTGCAATTTAAAGAATGTATTTTAAATTTCGCGCTAATTTCACCCCACTTGACGTCACACCCGATGCGTATGCCTATACTAAAGCACTATATTAATATAATAAAGTGCTTTAGCCTATACCATGTCTCCTTCTACCATGGCTTATCATAACTGTAAATTATCTGCAAAATTCCAAAGCATTCAGTTTTGCAGATTCCAAATTAAATTGCAAAATGTTGTTTCATAATTTTGATTTTTTTCAAAAAATCTGGACGTTTCGGGTAAAAACTCAATTCGGAATCATAAACTACATGAATAGGACTATGTTATTTTATACAATTTAAAACCCATTTACTATGTGCAATTTTGAAGTGACGTCATCACATAATTGGTGGGGATGATTAGGTAAAATTTGGTTAGCGTTTTACCATCTACATGGTATTCCTAATATAAATACAAATTTTCACTCCGGTACTTTCGGAGATTGTCTGTCTAATAAAAATCCGGGACGGCAGACAGACGGAAACGGGAGACCTATTTCTTCGTCTTCTAGGGGTCATGAAAGGTCGAGAAAATGTAAAAGTAGAGAGTCGGCCGACGGACTCGATTACAATACTTCCTTTGCTTACGATCGGGAAGTAAAAACATCATGGAGTTGCCGTGATGAATACGAATTTGTCATTAATAACATCTTTTGTGATAATGAAGTCGACATTTAAGATAAAATGACGTATGAAATACATCGGTAAGTTTTCGTTCAGACACATATTAAATAAATAATTACCTATTTTAAAAAATGTCAGCTCCATGGATTAAAAGCCATCCCTCCACGGAGCTGACATTTTCAAAAATTTATCACGTCCAGGCGCGGTACAATTGACATAATGCATAATGTCAATTAAGCAACATTTTCATAACCACTCTTCAGGTTTTATTACTTCCCGAGCGTAAGCAAAGGAAGTATTGTAATCAAGTCCATTGGCCGACTCCCTACTTTTACGTTTTCTCGGCCTTTCATGACCCCTAGAAGACGAAGAAATAGGTCTGCCATTTCCGTCTGTCTGTCCGTCTGTCTACCGTCCCGGATTTTTATTAGACAGATAATCTCCGCAAGTACTGGACCGATTGTTATGAAATTTTGTACTTATATTAGGAATATCATGTAGATGGTAAAACCAGAGAACATAGTAAAACGCTAACCAAAATTTGTCTAATCATCCCCACTACTAATGCGATGACGTCACTTCAAAATTGTACATAGTAAATGGGTTTTAAATTGTATAAAATAACATAGTCCTATACATGTGGTTTACAACTCCGAATTGAGTTTTCACCCAAAACGTCCAGAATTTTGGAAAAAAAATTAAAATTATAAAACAACATTTTGAAATTTAATTTTGAATCTGCTAACCCGAATGCTTTGAAATGTTGCAGATGTTTTAAGGCTATAAAGAACATCATAAATCTGTAGTCAAAATATATTTGGTTATCCCCTCCAAAAACTTGATGACGTCATCTCAAAAGTTTGCCGAATAAATCATATCTAAAATGTACAAAATATGATGAGTCTGTACTTGTGATCTATCACTCCAGTCATATTTTTTGGATTTGCATATACAGGGTGACTCAAAAAAATTAATGAATGCGTAAATTTATTTCACTAATTTACTCAGGATCTACAAAACCGAATTCTTTGAAATCCACTGCGAAAAAAAAACATAATAGGCATGCAGTCGTCACGTTTCCGACAGCGAGGGAAGTACTGTCTAAACTCTTTAGACCAATTTTTTTCGATATGTTTTCGATTTATGTCGTTATAAACGCTATACAATCTAATATAGAAATTATATGTACAAATGCAGTTTTATTTTGAGACCACGGAGCTGACAACGCTTCTCTGGCGCACAATATTTTGTTGCTTAAAATATTCAAACGTCTAATACATTTTACTTTGTAAATTATGGTTAAATTTTAAATTAATCACTTAAACCGGTTTTACAAATACCTAATACGAAAAAAATTACAGCAACATTTCTTCAAATTGATGCATGTTTTTAAAAGTTTCAATGCATATTTACATTGTTTATGACAACTGCATAGAATCCTGGACCATACGCGGGCACTTTTTAACTTGTTACCTACAAACGCGAGGATATACCCACATGCCTTCAAAAGCTTATTTTGGAATCACCCATGTACGCCTTGCAATTTAGTACTTGTCTCACGGTTGTCCCTATAATATTTATTTTTTCATTTCTTTTTATTTTTTTGCTGACAAGTACCTGGCTCACACATGGACCAATAAAATATTAAGTGGCCCTTAAAAGCTACACCACAGATTACGGTATCCGTAATCTGTGGCTACACGTATAGGCACCCATTCATACATCGTAACGCAGTGCCTCTACAAATCAAAAATAATGTCTTGAACTACGAATACAGCATTACAACGGACCAGAAGTCGGATAAACTGAAACTATATATTTTTGTCACAAAGTCCATGATTGGTTACAATATAATAATACTAATGTATTTTGGGTTGCATTCAAATTACGTGGGAGTCATACATGTTTATGTATTGGCTTATATACAGTACAAAAAATAGTGTAACCTTTTAATCACAGTTTGTATAGTAAGAAGAATGATTTAACAACCGCTTATATAAACTGAATTAAAAGTTCTCTACCAACTAGGTGTTTGTTTCCAAAAGCTACTTAACACAATTCATTATTACTTATTACTTTCGTATTAATCTTTGTGTTATCAACAGAATTGTGCATGAAATCAAATTTTAGCTACAAATATGTTTTGTCTTTTATTTACTCATTATTTTTACAAAAAAAAGATATATGTATAACAACGGAAAAAAAGTGGGAACTATATTGCTACAGATAACACAAAATGTCAATTCAGTATACAGCATGTAGAGATTCAATGTACAATTTAATTCATAATATATATATCAATAATTACAGGTGTTGGTGCTTTTACTAATTATGAAACTTATGGGCATTGTTAATAGCATCTAAAATTTGATACTACATTAAGGTATACATTCACCTAAAATTTACTCCTTGGCTACTACTCAAAACGTTACATAAATTAACCAACACACTGAGTTTTATATAAAAAGACTATTTAGTGTAAAATATGGTTAAGTAGCCAAGAATGACAGCTATATTGTCTATGAAACACATACATCACAATTTTCCTATGACAGTCCTATTTACATGAAACACAGGCCTTGTGAAAATAAATTAAATTATTAATTACAACATTAAAGGCAGCAAATTTCTTCACAAATATAAAAATATATAATTTGGCCAATTCAGCAATTTAAAATTAATTATGACATAATACAAGTGTAGCTTTTAGGCTGTTTGCGAGACACTATATTGAACATGAATACAACTTATAACATTGAAACAAAATGTCCTTCAACTTTTTGCTGTCAAACTACAAGTCATATTCAACCTAAAATGAGGTATAAATTTAGTGTCGTTTCAAACGGGCCTTAAGTAATCAATCTAGAAACAATTTTTGTAAGGCAGTGCTTTACTACAAAGGTGATACAACAGCAATGAAGCTAAAAAAATACAATAAACCAATTTTGACTTTAAATCCAAATGCTATGTTAACAGTATCTATTCACTTGTTGAGCCAAGGATGTTGAAGACATTCAGCAGCAGTTGCCCGTTTATTTGGGTCGAAATCCAGCATTGGTTTTAAAAATGCTGCAAATTCTTCTGCATCTTGCCGACTCCACTCATACTTTTCAATTAAAACATCTTCTAGTCCCCAAGGTTTTAGCCCTGTAATATGTCTCAATTCATTTTTTTTATTAAATATTAATTTTGAATTTCTTCCACTCTGGGCAATTCTTCGCGGTATATTGCCCAACAACTCAATAATATGAGCTAAATGATCTTCATCTCTGCAATAATCTTCACCTGAATGAGGTTCAAATAAATAATCACCTGTTGCTAATTCAAATGCCATGCAAGCTGTACTCCAAATATCTGCAGAAGTACCATACTCAGCTCCTAGTAAAACTTCCAGTGACCGATACTGTCGCGTCTGTATGTCTTCAGTAAAGTGTTTATCAACCCAACAAGCATTACCTAAATCGGCAATTTTAACTTCAAATTCGCATATTATGAAGGCGGGATCTGCTTCCATCTTTATTTCATTTTTTGCAATTAATGACGGTGGATCATCCTCAGACATATGAATTACTGGTTCATTATTACAATCTTCACCACTTGTTGGGGGAACTTCACCTCCTGCTAATTCATCAACACAGCCATTTGTAACTTTCTCATCAGTTTTATCATGAACCATCTCCGGACTAGGACTTGTACCATTGCAGTCATTATCTGTAAGAGTGTCACCATTTTCTTTCACCTTTTTCTGTTCTTCTAATTCTATAATTTGTTCCATTTGTCGTTTAAGTAATTCATTAAGTCTTTTAGCTTTCTTCTTTAGCTTTTTCTTTTTATTTTTACTCATTTTTGTTGGTTGCACTTCTTGAACTGGTGCAGTACTTATTAATGATGTTGGTAATTTTAATCCTAAATTATGCATTTCAGCAGCTTCACATGCCAATTTTCTGATGTAATCCTCACTCACACAAATGAGAACATTTTCTGGTTTGATGTCAGTGTGTATTATTTTACATTTGGTGTGCAAGTAGTCAAGACCTTCTAAAACTTGTCGCATTATAGTACGAACATTATCTAAAGGAATTCCACGATAATTTGATTTAATAATTAATTTTAATAGATGATGTCCAAGGACTTCGAAGACCATACATACATGTACACCGTTCACGCCACTGATTTTGAAATCATTTAATAACTGAACAGTCTTGTTACGTTTTGGATCTGTAGGATCTGATTCCCTTACTGCTTTTAAAATTTTGATCTCATCAAGAGCAGTTTCTGTAAAATGCTCTGCTGACTTAACTATTTTTAAAGCGACAAACCTTCTATCTTGCAGGTCCCAACATAGCCATACCGTGGAAAAGTGGCCCCATCCGAGCTTCCGGGTAACATGGTATCTACTAAGAAATAGATCACCAATTTTAACTGGATGATAGCCTCCTTTTCGATAATCATTGCTGTCTTCTTGTTCTTCTTCTTCACTAGTGTACGTGTCATCTTGATCTTCAATCGTTTCATTGCTTGAACTATGTGAGGGCTCACTTTTGGAATTTAAACGATTTTCACCGTGACCATTCATTTCGTTCTTACTTTTTTTCTTAGACGGCTTATGTCTTTTCTTTTTTGCTTGTATAGCCAAGACCCGTCGATTTACGTCCAATTTTGCGCTCATTTGTAAAATCGGTTGAATTAAAACCACGGAAAAATCAATAAAAATGTCAAATAATCAACATTTCTACCAAAACAGTTTTGTTTAAGTATGGCCGCCAGGCTCGACAAATGGTTCAACATGAACGACCAGCGACAAAAACGCATAGTGAACTGCGCAATACTACGAGCGAAAGTTCATAACATATCTATCGCCAGTCTTATTCCTAAAGGCATTGTATATATACTAATGATGTTTTTTTATTGGTATATAAAATCAACGCCATTTCTATCTGTCCACTCCCTAGTGTACATTTTTGAAAATAACTGGGTGTTAGATATTTTTTTGGACTTTACGGTAAAAATTGGGGGAAAACTTGAGTGAGGTTAAAACGTCAAATTTTTTTAAATATCAAAAAATTTGAACGTAAAAATAAAATTTAGATTTTTTTAAAATAAAACTTGTTAATTTAAAGTTACCCGCTTTATTTAAAGCATGCGCATGTTGATCTGTGTGTACATGGTTGTCTATTTGTACAGTATTGTCACAGATTACGGATACCAGATAGTTCACTCAGCTGTCGGCACTTTGAAGTCGGTGTCTCGAGATTTCAAGCGGTATTCACGCTACTACGCACGCTCTACCAAAATTGGTTCGCAAGCTTTGAATTTAAAAGCACGGCGGTCAGAGAAAAATTACAGCGATGATGCAAGGGATGAGGTTCTAAGTGAAGAAAAAACGAACAAAATACTTATTTGCCTTACACAAAATGATTTATCATTATTACAAATGCTTAACATTTCACAATTTCCTCTGAAAAGAATTGCGGACACAGCCATCGGCATTAAAAAATTTTAGAGCGTAAAAAACACGTATTCTCGAATATAGTGCTAACAAGAAAATGGTGTTAAAATTTTTGCATGGTGAATAAACGTAACCTCTTTAACTATACGGCTTAAAGGGTTACCGAAAGTTAGAAGAATTGGAGGGCATAGTTAATGAAATTTGCTGCGCTTGCCTTTCTGAATTTTGTTGTTACAGTTTTCTAATCTACTCGTTTTTATAGTGATCTTCGATTTTTGGTGGTTATTTAAGATTGAAACGAGTTTAAAGGAAAAGAAGGGAAAATGTTTTATTCTCTTATTCATTTACAAAATCAGACATTATGGACAAGATATATTTACTAAACGATACTATAATACAGTTTAATGCAGGTAGGTATTTATTTAACTAATTTTCTGATTATTTTAAAACTTTTAAAAAATCCCTTCGTAACCAAAAAACGTAGAAATTAATCCTTGTAATGTTATTTATTCCCTGAATTATTACCTAAACTTTTATTCTTATATCTGCTTCATTGTAAATATTATTTTGCGTGTTAATCTGTCGAACCAGTTTCAAAGAGATTTAAAAGTGCTGAACCAATTTTAGTGTCATGCGCACGGAAAATTTGCGGACAGTTACGCCCACAAGTGAACCATCTGGTATCCGTAATCTGTGGTATTGTAATTATTTTTGGAGCAACTGGCAGTTGCGCACAAAAAAAAACGGAAACCTAAACACCAAACACCAGCTAATGCTAAACCAAATGAACAGTAGAATGTTGTCTTTGACTTATTGTGAGTTTTGTGTTACAAACAATATGAAATAATCACGATTTTATCGTAATTTGCTGTTAATTACATATACACAGAAACAATCACCACATCCGCAATTAATATAATGTGGCACACCACAAATTTCTATTGCGTTAAAGGTGTGGGTATAAGCTTAGATCATATAATAATATTATATGATCTAAGGGTATAAGTATTTACCGTGAATTTATATGGAAAAAGTAAACCTTAATTTTTGCATTAAAAATTGTAATTTATAACTGTTTATGTTGTAATCATCGTCGTCTAGTTACGACAAGATTATTATAGTCGTTAAAATGTTATGAAGTAAGTTTAGCCCATTTCTGTCATCTTCAGTTCCCAATGTAAATTTGGTAAAATTGCTTGGGTGGAATAAATATTTGTTTTGGACCATTTTGGGGAGAAATTAAAAGTGGCATAGTGATATTATGCAACTACAAGGTTATGGTTCGAATGTTGAAATCTGTCAAAACGACCAATGAGAATGAAATCATCATGTGTGTAGCTCTCAGGCCCATTTAGGTTATTTTAGCGGAGAAGACAGAAGACCTCATGGGAGTTAAATATGGAAACTGAAATACTAAGCCTCTTAGTGGATTCTTCTTTTGCCAAACTAATATTAAAATACAAAATGTAGCCTGCTGTCACAAGCTGGGATTGAATTTTTTTGCTCTATTATAGAAATTGAACTTATATCTACAGGCTTATTCAGCTAAGATGACCCATTTATATTTTTAAAATAGGCAACCCAAAATACCGATTCCACCTGAACCTGGATTACAAAAAATGTTTCAAAATTGACTTGTATCAAAGTTTGCTTATAAGTGTATAGAAACGTCAGTGTCAGAAAAATGCCTATGCATTCTTACAATAATAACTAGACAACCGACATGATCCTTATTTATGGACAGTGTCGCAAAAATGCCAGACATGAAGCACAATTATATGCAAGAAGATACGCTGACCGTGTGGCCCCAACACCCAATCTTTGTGGTTGGTTTGTGGGTCGAAGTGCATGCTCCAGCTGCATATGGTTAGAGCGGTTAGGATGAAATTTATTTATTTGTCTAGCAATAGCAATTTGTACCATAACCCCCTTATGAGGATTCTCATTAACTTGTGCGAGAAGTTATACTTCATTTTCCAAGCTAGTCGCAGTCTGGTTCCGTTTCCTCTTGTTAGCAGGCCACTTTCTTACGCAACGAATTTTCTAGCCTCTTGAAAATTTTGGGTGTTGGGGCCACACGGTCAGGGTATCTGCGGGCATACAATTGTGCTGTACCCCTAGCCTTTTTCTGTCATTCTTCATAACGTGTCCATAACTAAGGATCATGTCGGTTTTCTCGTTATTATAATAATATGTTTATTGTGCAGATAAATGTGATACATTTTAGCACAATAAACATGCATAGGCGTTTTTCTGCCACTGACGACTGACGTTTCTATACATTTAGCAAACTTTGATACAATTTAATTTTAAACCATTTTTTGTAATCCAGGTTCAGGTGGAATCGGTATTTTGGGTTGCCTATTTTAAAAACATAAATGGGTCATCATGTATATATAATTTTTTCAAATTTGTTTGAAGTTAAATAGGGGTATTATGTTATAGGTAAGCAGAGAAAAATGTTGTGCCTCGGTGGGATTCGAACCCACGTCTCCAAGCATTCCGGGCTGGTATGCTGACCGCTACACCACAAGACAACTTATCTTTGCTCTGCTTACCCATGTGTTATTGTGCCGCTACAATGTATTTAGAACAAAAGAAATTATTTCAAACTAGATTGACTTAAACAGATTCAGTAAAAAAAAATGTGTATACGTATTTCTAAAGTAACAATGTTTTCTAGTTAGATAAGACTAACGCTTAAATGTAAAGACAGAGGAAAATTACAACAGTTATATCAAAAGACATGGTTATAGTCCGGTCAAAATAGACATTTCAAATAACAAAAACTCCGACAGAGCTGAATTTTGGTAGAGACCTTAGGTACACCAGTAGAAATAAAGGGCAAAAGTCCCCATAGATCCCATGTGTGCTAAAAAAGTTATTCAAGGTCAAAGGTCAACATTTTTGGTTTTTTGGATTTTTCTCGAAAACGGTAAGTTTTATCAAAAATATAGTTCAAACAAAAATTGTAGATCATAAAATTATCTACAAAAATGATCCTTATACTCTTTTCCCTAAGAATCACCATTCCCAAGATATCGCCGTTCTAAAAGTTGAAGGAGTTGCATTCTACATGATATGCACACAAATTCCACGTATATACATAGTCAGACTCCTAATATAACTAAAAATGCCCTTCGTGTCTCTTACATGTATAAAATAACTACGAACAATATAATAAATAGCTACTAACAATTCTGAGAATATACACTCAAAGGAAATTCAGTCCCTTAGTCAGCTCCTTGTACTATACATAGATTGATAAAATCATTTAATTTTTAAAATCTGGAAAGGCTCAACAGCGAGCAGAAATATATTCTTCAAGCGGTTTATCTTTTTATCAAAAATGCCAAAACCATATTTTATTTTTACATGTAATAACCGGCTGCGATACTACATCAGCACTGTTCAGAATGGGTAAAACATGAGTACTGAACTTACTTGATTGCCCTAAAGTATTTGAAGAAATTGACGCGTCTTCTCAAACGATAATCGCAAAAGGAATTTGCTTTCCCCTTACGGAGCTCTAAAAAAATTAGTTGTTTCGACAAGTATAGATATTTAACTTAAAAAAAAAAAACGAAACAAGAAACAAGTACAACTATCTTGTCTTCCTCCAACATGGCTTCTGCTCATCAACACTTGTAGGTATACTATCAAGTTCAGACATGGCTAGGCTATCAACTGAACCCCGAAGACTGAGGTTGGAAATTAACAGATAATACTTTGGAACCGATTCAAACTACATATACACTGCACGTGCACTAATTGCCAAGGTCACTCTTGCTCGAATGTTCAGTGGAATCCAACAGACGAAGATTCATGTGATATTGTGATATCGATGAAGAGGAAACTAATTCATCTTCAGTTTAACAATTTATGAACATCCAGCAAGAAGAAGAGGAAGAAGAAGAAGAAATTGAAGAAGACATGACTGTTGAAGTCGAATTTGAAGAGTATGAATCAGATTAAAATGTTAACAGAAATTAGAAACCATAGTTTAAATCAATCAACTATGTCAATATCAAAATCAATGATCATCATGCAGAAATTACAGTATTTTCCCATAAAACTCCGTCATAACAGATCGTAGGCCTACTGGGGAAATCACGTTAAAAAAAACGCGCCAAGTACACTACATCACAGGTGGTGTGGAAATGTGTGCATATAATTTTTTTCGAGCTCCGTAAGGAGAAAGCGAATTCCTTTTGCGATTATCGTTTGAGGAGACGCGTCAATTTCTTCAAATACTTTAGCGCGATCAGTTAAGTCCTTTTTTCAAGTAATTTCAGTACTCATGTTTTACCCATTCTGAACAGTGCTGATGTAGTATCGCAGCCGGTT